AATTGCTCCTGTAAGTCGCTCTGGATAAGAGCGTCTGCTAAATAATGTAAATGTAAATGTAAATGTGTTATTTAATAGTTTTGATGTATTCACTATTATTCGACAATGTGAATGGGGCTGGGCCACATGTGTTATAACCATTGTACTATAAGTTTAGCATTGGAATTATTAGCATATACAGGTCAGAGGTCACAGGACTAAGATATGCAAATAACAGGGTTGGGGTGTGCCGCTAATAGCTGCATATACAGTGAGCTCCAAAAGTATTGGGACAGTGACACATTTCTTGTTGTTTTGGCTCTGTACTCCAGCACTTTGGATTTGAAATGATACAATGATTATGAGGTTAAAGTGCAGACTGTCTGCTTTAATTTGAGGGTATTTTGCATCCATAGTCCCCCCATTTTAGGGGACCAAAAGTATTGGGACAAATTCACTTATATGTGTATTAAAGTAGTAAAAAGTGAAGTATTTGGTCCCATATTCATAGCAGGCAATGACTACATCAAGGTTGTGACTCTACACATTTGTTGGATGCATTTGCTGTTTATTTTGGTTGTGTTTCAGTTCTCTCCTAATTTAGCAGGAATTTAGCCCGAAATGATTTCAGAAATGTGATTCGTTGATGATAGGCCTATGACATTGACCTACGTCTCGTTTTGTGCTGCGCAGAATATCAGATCCAATTAAAAGATTGGAGAAGTGTTTAACATCACCAGTACCACATCCTTATGATATATATGTTCACATAAACGCAACATGAGACAGCTTCGAATGTCTGACTGAAATACGGGACAAATCAACCTTTTTTTTTCTAAATTACTGGTGTTGATAAAATGCGGGACATAATTGTTTGGTTGCAGGACACGAGACAAAGGGCCAAAATGCGGTACTCTCCCGCACAATCCGGGACACTTTCTCACCCTAGTTACAAATTCTTTAGAAACTCTTCCCACTGGGCACACACTGTTTGAATCAACGTTGTTTCCAGTCATTTCAATGAAATTATGTTGAACCAACGTGAAATAGACGTTGAATTCACGTCTGTGCCCGCTCAGTGGGTTTGTGTTATTTAGTACCGTACTTTTTTTCTGCCCATAATCTTTCGGCATGTGGCATTTCACCTACCACCAGCATCAGTATTTTGCCAAGGTCAAATTAATTGGTGGAAACCTGACAAATCCTCAAACTAATCCACTCAAAAGTAAAGTGCATGGGCAGGGCCGGCAACCAGAACGAATCAGTTGGATGGGTATTTGATATGCGCATTTTCTTGATAGAGTTTCATTTAAATAATAACGGTTTTGTTTCTCAAAATTGTTGTCACGTGGTTAATCATAAAAATCTGAATTAAAATGATGCCATATGGACATATAAAGATATAAAGTAATTAGCTCATGGAATTCAGAGATAGCTTCTATAGGCCAATGCAGCAGTAGGCCTATAACTTCCATCGCCAACTAAGTAAAATATATAGGCCTAAAGCAAACAAATAAAAACAGTAAAACATATCCTGATGAAAATGCAGGTTCTTTCAATCGCATTAAGCTCTCTTCTCCGCCGGTCTCCCTCCCTTTCTATGTCTTAACTTGAGCTATTACTAGGTTGACGTACTCAGGCGCTCGAGCTCCATCAACGGAGAAACCACACACACACATGCGCATTGCTCACATGGAGCACTCCAAACAAAATACTATTAAAAAATTGACAAAACTCCTAAATGATGCTCATGAAATAAACCAAAACTTGTTTCTCACAAGTGTAGCAGGTTGTGAACTCTGCAAACAACTTTTCCACTTCCAGAATGATAACGGTAAATGACTGTAATACATGCAATTGACATAAATTAATGTAACCTAATTATGGGGATTAAGGGTACATTTACTAGGCCAACTAGTTACATATGTAATGGTGAATTGATCAAAATAAACAATCAAAGGGCAAACAATTCACACAATGACACAATGAATTTGCAATAATTGTCAGGAGACAGCGGAGCACATTCTGGAGAGCTGAGTGCATGCATTCTGGAGAGAGACGCGACATATCTTAACCCACACACCCCTCCCCTTCTACTTGTCTCAACATTTTAAATTATACTCAAGACACATTATCTTCCCACATTTTAGATGCTTTTCACTGACTTCAGCGAACTCAATAATCAGCTAGGCCTATTGCCACGCACGCTGCCCAAATTGCTGGCTTCCCAAATGTGATTTGAACAATCCACAGCTATTTTATTTTTTAAAGAAGCTAATGATCCTCTGTGGCTAAGTCAAGCTCTCTGGTAAAGTATTTTGAATTATTTTATTTAGACATTAGTAATTATATAATTTGGGCAAAATATCTATTTACTTTAGGGGAAGCCAGCATCCAAATAGTGCACTGTGCACCCGCCAACTTCCCTTTCTAATTCGCAAATGGCTGAAACCAGATATCTGTATATAATGATGAGATGCTAATTTCTCCGCCCTAACAATACAAGTCGTTGTCCCAAAGGCGGGAATTATAGATTGTAAAGGCGGAAATGTAGGCGACAAGTTTAGGTCTTCAAATGATGCCTATAGAAACGCATTGGGTTTATTCAGGACAGATTTTGGCGAGAGTGAGCCCTCTCGCTTTGCCTCTTCCTCTCTGCTGAAACTAGCGAGCGAAACAGCGCCCCTGTCTTACGATTTGTAGCCAATGTACAATATCATCTGATACTCTTTGGCCAGAAAAATTATGACATGCCATACTGCATGCCATACTCCTTTTGTCCAGACAGCATCAGATACATGGTCTACACATATTTGACAGAGGGGCGCTGTTTCGCTCGCTCCGATTGTTTAGCTGAGATTGATGCGTCTTTCGGTCAAATAAATGATCAATACTTCAGTATTTTATTTGAACGGTCAAGGAGGTACGGTAGGCCGGGGCCAGGCCCTATAGGCCCGCCTAAAACGTCGGCCCTGTGCATAGGTGTGCTTCATCATAAACCCTGGCCTCTGCCTCTCATCTCGTGGCTGGCATTCTGGGCAAAGAATAGTTAGTGCCACCTAGTGGTATTTAGGTGAAAATACATCCGACTACTCTCACATGACATGCACAGATAGAGAGCCCAGTTTCTCCAAAACATTTAATCCAGATCAAAATTGTGTAGTGTTAAATGCTGCTCATTCTTCAGATTTGGTCCCTCATTTTTGGATGTAGGTAAGAGAGAACTGAACCAAATCTCTAACATACAACATATGCTACAAATATCATTTTATATGATCGAATGACATTTGGGCAAAATATAATCTAAAGTATAATAATAATAATAATATGCCATTTAGCAGACGCTTTTATCCAAAGCGACTTACAGTCATGTGTGCATACATTTTTGTGTATGGGTGGTCCCGGGGATCAAACCCACTACCCTGGCGTTACAAGCGCCGTGCTCTACCAGCTGAGCTACAGAGGATTGAATGTTCAGGATTGAATGTTCTGAAAAACTGGGCCCTGGTGACCCCATTTCAGGAAAGGAATATCACATTTTGTATTATATTGTAGGCCTATCTACATAAATAACGTTTACCAAATAGAGAATGCATGGGCCTTGACCTCACTAGAATTAAAATACTTCCACGTCACTGTTTTAGGTTTCATGCTCACTTTCTACATTAGCCATTTAGCAGATGCTCTTAGTATGGGATTTTCCTACAAGAAATGAATCGGACAACTATAGGAACCAAAATCCTTGAGATCCAATATTTAACTTTTTTTTAAAGTATTGCAAATACCAATATTCTCTAAAACAAACATGACTACCGTTCACAGGCTTGTGTACAACTACAATGAACAAAAATATAAATGCAACATGTAAAGTGTTGGTCCCATGTTTCATGAGCTGAAATAAAAGATCCCGGAAATTTTCCGGGATCTGCAAGTGAGTATTTATTCTTGCAAGTGAGTATTTATTCTTTGCCAAGATAATCCATCCACCTGACAGGTGTGTCCTATCAAGAAGCTGTTAAACAGCATGATCATTGCACGGGTGCCCCTTATGCTGGGGACAATAAAGGGCCACTAAAATGTGCAGTTTTGTCACACAACACAATGCCACAGATGTCTCAAGTTGAGGGAGCGTGCAATTGGCATGCTGACTGCAGGAACGTCTTTTTAGAGAATTTGGCAGTATGTCTAACCAGCCTCACAACCGCAGACCACGTGCATGGCGTCGTGTGGGAGTGCAGTTTGCTGATGTGGACAGAGTGCCCCATGGTGGCGGTATGATATGGGCAAGCATAAGCTACAGACAACGAACACAATTGCATTTTATCAATGGCAATTTGAATGCAGAGCTACGGAGGCCTATTGTCGTGCCATTCATCCGCCACCATCACCTCATGTTTTAGCATGATAATGCACAGCCCCATGTCTCAAAGATCTGTACACTTTTCCTGGAAGCAAAACATTTCCCAGTTCTTCCATGGCCTGCATACTCAGACATCTCACCCATTGAGCATGTTTGGGACGCTACAACCGTGTACAACTGCATGTTCCAGTTCCCGCCAATATCCAGCAACTTCGCAAAGCCATTGAAGTGGAGTGGGACAACATTCTACAAGCAACAGCCTGATCAACTCTATGCAAAGGAGATGTCACGTTGCATATGACAAATGGTGGTCATACCTGATACTAACCAACGGCCACTTTTTTGGGGGGAATCTGTGACCAAAAGTGCATATCTGTATACTCAGCCATGTGAAATCCATAGATTAGGGCCTAATTCATTTATTTCAAATGACTGATTTCCTTATAGGCACTGTAACTCCGTAAAATCTTTGAAATTGTTGCATTTACATGTTTTTCCCGGTATAAATGAACCGCATTGGAAACAAGCTAATTTCACCTTCATTAACTCCCTTGTAATGTTAAAGTATACATTTCCAAGAAATTACTATTGGCTTCACTTAGTATACATTACCCATGATCATATTGAATGACAAACAAATGTGTTCAACCATGTTTCTTTTATTGCGGGTATAATAAAAAATAAAGTACAGCCAAAGGTTGCCAGATACAGGAAACATGAAAAGTGAAAAAGCAACACCAGTCAGATGTTTCACAAGGAAAGAAAACTGACGATTTAAGCCAACTCCTCTTCACCCTCCTCCTCTTCAAACTCGCCCTCCTCCTCTGCAGTGGCATCTTGGTACTGCTGGTACTCAGACACCAGGTCGTTCATGTTGCTCTCTGCCTCAGTGAACTCCATCTCGTCCATGCCCTCTCCTGTGTACCAATGGAGGAAAGCCTTACGGCGGAACATAGCTGTGAACTGCTCAGAGATGCGCTTGAACAGCTCCTGGATGGCAGTGCTGTTTCCAATGAAGGTGGCAGCCATCTTGAGGCCTCGGGGAGGAATGTCACAGACTGCAGTCTTGACGTTGTTGGGGATCCATTCAACGAAGTAGCTGCTGTTCTTGTTCTGTACGTTCAGCATTTGCTCGTCCACCTCCTTCATGGACATGCGCCCGCGGAAGACTGCAGCCACCGTGAGGTAACGGCCGTGACGAGGGTCGCAGGCGGCCATCATGTTCTTCGAGTCAAACATCTGCTGAGTGAGCTCTGGAACTGTCAGGGCTCTGTACTGCTGGCTGCCCCTGCTGGTGAGGGGGGCAAAGCCGGGCATGAAGAAGTGGAGACGGGGGAAGGGCACCATGTTGACTGCCAGTTTGCGCAGGTCAGCGTTGAGCTGGCCGGGGAAGCGAAGGCAGGTGGTGACCCCGCTCATGGTCGCAGACACCAGGTGGTTGAGGTCTCCGTAGGTGGGCGTGGTGAGTTTGAGGGTACGGAAGCAGATGTCGTAGAGCGCCTCGTTGTCGATACAGTAGGTCTCGTCTGTGTTCTCTACCAGCTGGTGGACTGAGAGGGTGGCATTGTAGGGCTCGACCACAGTGTCTGACACTTTAGGGGAGGGCACCACGCTGAAAGTGTTCATGATGCGGTCGGGGTACTCCTCACGGATCTTGCTGATGAGCAGGGTGCCCATGCCAGAGCCGGTTCCACCTCCCAGGGAGTGGGTGAGCTGGAAGCCCTGCAGGCAGTCACAGCTCTCAGCCTCCTTCCTCACCACATCCAAGACGGAGTCAACCAGCTCTGCACCCTCGGTGTAGTGGCCCTTGGCCCAGTTGTTACCTGCTCCACTCTGACCTGTAATGGACAGAAGTATAATGTAAAGATAACATGAGATGAAACTGGGCCCTAGTGACTGATTATGCAAACACTAAAGCAGGAGATGACAAAGCTAATTAAGTGACATGGCAACCCTTTGTTTTGAGTAACCAATGCCAACGGTTTGCCTGTGGTGCCTGTAGTCAAGTAATGAAGGTTTATTGTAGTAACATGCAACTAATCCTGGCCCATAGACCACTTCCAAGTTAATTTATGGTCAAACGACCAAGACAGTTTCTTACCGAAGACAAAGTTGTCAGGCCTGAAGATTTGACCGAATGGTCCAGACCTCACGGAGTCCATGGTCCCAGGCTCCAAGTCCACAAGTACTGCACGTGGCACATACTTTCCACCTGAAAAGTCAAAAATAGCACTTACAAGAAATTCAAATCCTTTCAAAACAATCGTACAGGGCTAATAATGTTAACTAGGAGAACCATTTTTGGTTTTGTAGTGTTTAGCCCGAATTGGACAATTGCCAGATTTACCAGACCATTGTGGCTCAGGACATCACACAACTTAACTCACCTGAAGCTTCATTGTAGTACACATTAATTCTTTCCAGCTGAAGATCACTGTCCCCGTGGTAACTTCCAGTGGGGTCAATGCCATGCTCATCACTGATCACCTCCCAGAACTACACAGAAAGAAAGCATAGGGAGACGTATCAATTAATGCCAATGTGAAGTCAATTCAGGTAAAATATTTTTGCAGTTAAATATAAAATGGATGCAACCCAGCCATTTTGAACTAGTAAAAAAAAAAAAAAAGTAAAGAGTTATCTGCTTTGTGGCTTCCATGCTTCAAGTGTCAGAAACAAAATGGAGTTTCTAAAGTTGACAACTTTAAATAATATATTTTTCTGCGTTGTCCTTTGCTAAATGGACAAATAAAACATGAAAAGTATGCTCAATGTATTTGTACATCGATAATCAATTATAATGCAAACTAAAAACATTGGCTATAATGTAGTCGCAGTGAGCGCGCGCTGGCCGGCTTGGCGTACCCCTCCATGACCTGAACCAGACAACCCGCCATATTATAACTACGCGCGCTGGTCTAACGTGGGGCTGGCTTGAATTACATTACCTCGATAATTCGAACGCTTCTCCGAATAAAACAAGTACATACAATTAAAAAATCATTGAACTTGTAGGAACAAACAGGAAGGCAAATAATTCAAAATCGAGAGGATATTTTTCGCCAAACAATTATTGATCATCTGAGAACAAAGGGGCCGTATTGTGCTCAATCTGACAATATATTTAAATTGTAACTAGCCCAAACTGTTAAATTTTTTCGCGCACACTTTGAAAGATCGTTAAATACAATATATCGAGGCCTCCTGGCCGTAGATTTTTTCAAACCAATAATACATCTAGACCTAAAAGCCTAGACGTGTACAAACCTTTGCGCCAATTTGATTACCGCACTGCCCAGCTTGTAAATGAACAATCTCTCTCATTTTGTTAATGGAGTAAGATTAACCTATCGTCAATAACTTCCTTCTTCGAGTGGCAACAATCTTCAAACTGTTGCATTCACACATGTATCTCAGTGTTGAGTACAAGGTATTTTTGTTAGGTCATTCTCTAAGACCGCTTCAATTTACAGCAATCCTATTGGTCCGTTTGGTCGCAGTGCCCGCGTTGTAAGCGACGTGATTGGTGGATTTCTGATTGGAAGTACGACATCACGTGTGATAATAGGCTGAATATTATAGGACCATAGAAAATGAAGTGAGAAGAAAATAATGGCTACTTTAGCCTACATTCTGATTGTGAATCGGACTAGGTATATCATAATATCAAATGTCTAGCATGTATCTCGACAGAATTTATTTGTTCAAGTTTGCAGCATTCAGTGCCTTCAATCATAATGTTTGCATCATGAAACAGCTCTCCATCAATTACACTAATTAGGGAGAAATTATAAATAACCATATTTATATTATTTTTACCTTTGATTTGTTAAATTTTCTTGGAGGAAACAAACCAGTGACATATACTAAGATATTACATTTTGAGGCTCTTGCTGAAGTGATTAAATGTAATCTTCAAGACATTCATCCACTATCTGAATTAATGGAGTTATAGGCAAAATATATAATTGTTTACCTTTAAGGTCCCTCGGCCCTATGATCCTGCGGTGCAGAGTTGAGTGATATACCCCCTGGGGCCACAAGAGCCCGGGCCTCAGGCAGAGGCAAAATAACACTCATATGCCACGCCTACACAAGCATAGAACCTCATTCACAATGGTGTGCTATTCTTGTTTCGTCTGACTATTAAACATTTGTTGAATGTTAAGAGTTTCTTTAGATAATCACAGGGATGATCAGCATGTCTTACCTACTGCCAACAATAGGAATCACTTGGAATTACCTCCCTCAAAAGCTATAATGCTCTAGTTTACAGTCTTTATAGCTGGGTTTTTGACTTGATCATGACAAACGGTTATACACAAATGTATTTACTCTGAAGTAGAGTTCAAAAGCATGACATACACTGATTTTATGACCCAATGCTACTTTGCACTCTTATTGATTCCGGCCAGAGTAAATCAAAGATAAATACTGGAATTGTGATTCTAGTCAAGACAACCTATTGCATTTATAAATGACTGATTTTATTTACTTTAAAAATGTATACTGCAGAAACACGTACTGTCAAATCATAATGAACCTAAGACCTGATGAGTCTTCTCTGAAAGCAGAGCAAGATACTTTGTTTTTACCACCACCTCTGCCATTATAAAAGTAATGAGACGTTTCACGGTCACTGGGTCCTTATTAGAAATTGTTATCAAAATAATATTTTTGCCAGGACAAACAATTAAAAAGACATGCATGGCAAACAAAATCCATTGAAATCTTCAGAATGTCTTCCTCCTGTACGTGTGGGTCAACAAAAACTCTCCACTCTGCTCTGCTCTCCATACACTCCAGTACACTTATTGTCTGTACAATTATTTGATTTTAACGACTGTCATTCCTAACACGATTCCCAGCAATCAGATATTGTTCAGAGGTTGTCGTCCTGCTCCAGTTCATGCTTTTCGATGTAGCGTCTAGAGGAGAAAGGAGGGTGGAAACAACTAACAGAGTTGAAAGGTGGACAACAATGACAGTGTAAAATGTGGGTGAAATTAAACTCAATCCAAGATTGAATTGCAGAGTTTGATCTCACCTTCTTGCAAACTCATACAAGGCCTCTTTCCTCTCTTGTAGGGACATGTGTCTGTCTACTGGTGATTTCCCAAAAGGTTTGGCAGCAGGCTATGGGTCAAAATGATACAATCAGACTATACAGCAAACTCCTGATAAATAGAATAGCGTAACAAGATGGTACCTCAATTACTTTGCGAGCAAGGTAATATAGACTACCAGTGGACTTAAGACATTATTTAGATGATTGGCAAACCTTAATGGTGGGAGCGGGTGCAGCTGAAGAAGAGACGGACCTCCAGGCTGGGCCTGGTGCAGACGTGGCTCCGCCTGTGGCCTCCACTGGGAACTCCTCAGTGCTCTCCAGCAGGTTAGTGATAGTGGTGTCCACACAGTTGGTTTGCACTGTAAAAAGGGTAAGGGGAAATATTTGGGGAAAGCTGCACGCTACTGTGCCTTTTTCTCCCATTGATCCTAATGCAAACTCCATTTCAATGAAATGCACATGCAAATATAGGACTCAAGTCAGTGCACTGCTCGTCACCATTCCAAATTCCCAGTCACTGCACTGGAAATGCAAATAAAAGGTTGGTGTACCCAGGTCTCTGGTGATGATGCCGAGGGGGATGTCAGGCAGAACCTCCTTCACCTGCTGGGCCATCCTGCTGATACTAAGCTCCTCCACCCCAGAGCTGCGGACCATGAAGCCCAGGGGAACTGGACGTGGTCTGGCACCCAGATCTGGAGAGACAGACAGCAGCTAATACACACCATCACCAATGGTGCCAACCACCCTCCAAGTGAGCATAACTTGCACCAAGGCCATGCTGTAGGAGGGGCTTAGTCAGGTAAGGTTTCTCCAGGGCTCTCCCTTACTTACTTGAGTTTGGGGTGCGTGGTGCAATGTGCCTTTTCCTCTTGATGTGCTCTGCTTTGTCTGCTTTGGTAATCTGTGTAGAGACCACGCCGAGCTCAGTGGCTAGAAGCTGAAAATGGACGACACAAAGACCAATCAGAGGACAATAGAATAATTGTTCTCTTTAGTGTTCCATATCATTGTGAATTTTCGGCTCCCAATGTGATAATAACTTGCAATATGCAACAAACCCTTTGATAAGATACATACTTGCTTTCTTTGTTTGATACAATGTGGGCAGTAGTGAATAGAAGGCAGTACAGAAAAAGTGTCTAAAAATGAGAATGACAAAAGGTTTTATACCTCTTGGACTTTGTTGGCAAACTCTTGAAGGGACTCTTCATCTTGTCTAGATACAGGTGGGAGCCATCTGTGAAAGTAAACAAAACATGGTCTCTACAAACCTTGTGAGCAGTAATAGTGAACTTATACTGCTTTCACATAGGATTTGGGGGATTTTGCCTATTAAAAAATAAAAAATGGGGCAATGTTTACATAACTTAAAACAGGCCAATTTTTCCCCCATTCTTTCCTGCATACGCCTTTTATACCTCCCGTGCGCATGCCGGTATGCCTGTGACGAGTGGTTGTAGTTGTGTGAATATACACCATCAAAAATTAATTAGTTTAGGCAGGTCATAAGATACATTATAAGACTAATAACATGTATTTTCTAAACAATAGAATGGAATATTGAGTTTAATTACACTACATGACCAAAAGTATGTGGGCGCCTGCTCGTCGAACATCTCATTCCAAAATCATGGGCATTAATATGGAGTTGGTCCCCCTTTGCTGCTATAAGAGCCTCCACTCTTCTGGGAAGGCTTTCCACTAGATGTTGGAACATTGCTGCAGGGACTTGCTTCCATTCAGCCACAAGAGCATTAGTGAGGTTTGGGTACTGATGTTGGGCGATTATGCCTGGCTCGCAGTCGGCGTTCCAATTCATCCCGAAGGTGTTCGATGGGGTTGAGGTCAGGGCTATGTGCAGGCCAGTCAAGTTCTTCCACACAGATCTCGAGAAACTATTTCTGTATGGACCTCGCTTTGTGCACCGTGATGAAAGCTTGCTTTGGCCTCTAATCAAGCTGATTGAAAAGTTATATGACTACAACACACAATTTACTGCTGATCCTGACAAAATGTTAACACTGAAATGGCAAGAGCATCACAAATCTAGGACAAACCATTGTTCATTCTAGCGGAAATTTCCAATGAGTAATGGACTGGACTTTAAGGACATGGATAAAAGTTGTCAATGATCAATGTGATACCTTTACAAGGTCCAACCAGAGTCCCGACAATGACAAGTAGTGAGATACAGTAATTATTTAGTACCTTACATGGTACACTGTACATGGGACGAAAAAGGTCCACAACAGTTCTGTCAGCCAAAAGGAGTCTGGCGTGCTCTGGTGAAAGAGGAACAAACTGCATTAGTACTTTCATTTCAGGAAATCCTCTGCATGTGTCTGACAGAAATATGTAAATATGGAGAGAAAAATCAACAACACAAAATCTTATTAGGTCCATCATTGGTGTGCAAACCACTTTTACAAGAAGTACTGGTCTTCTATGGACTGTTGGAGGAAACCTACAACTTTTGAAAGCTAAACTTTTTACACAAACACTCTCACCAAATGTAGATTGTTAAATATGCCACAAGTATTGCTTTTAAACTAATATGACAAAGAGGCCGTTTAGTTTTGACGGTATTACCAGAGCTACAAATGGCCTCTTCACTTGCAAGGCCACAGGCTGAATGGAATCAGTCATGGAGAAAGGCCAGGAGCTAAGGGAGAGAAAACACAAGGTTAGTTTGCTCAGTAGCTCTTAGCATCAGTAATACAGGGGTAGTACAGAGGCAGCTTACAGCTGTGTTGGCATTCTGCTCAGGACAGATTCTCCTCTAAACACCCGTTAATAAATCACTTGATCCATTTAAATTACTTACAGCAATAGTTCTGTGTTCTACTGGTGATTAGGGAAAAATAGAAAACGTATTTGTATATACAAAGAAGGCAGATATAATCTAATACAAAAAAATCTGTTGTCTTGTACACAAGATAAACCCCATGGATAGCACTGATCTGCACATTATGCTTTAACCAGTGCTGTGGGGCAGTGATGCTTTTGGTTTTAAGAAAGAAAACTTCAAACCAAAGAGAGAGACAGAGTGAACTCCATCAGCTTGATGACAGGGATAATGCAGTGTGTTGTGGCTCACCTGAATTTGAGAAGGCCAGCGCGCCCGTTGGTGGTGTCCTCCTCGGGGAAGAGGAGCAGGGGCAGAGTTCCTGGAGAGTAGCAGTATCTCCTGAGGGACTCCTCTATCTCATCTTGGCCCGATATGGCACCCAGCTCCATGAAGCCTCTGGCCCAACACACGAATCCCGCAGAGTCCTCCAGCATGGGCTGAGCAGAGGAGCAGACAGGTCACAAGTCATGGTAAAAATTAATAACAAACACTGGCGGATGGCCTAAGGTTGAGTCAATGCAGCTGCATTTTTTGAAAAATATATCTTTGTTCAGCTGGGCAAGAACAACCAATGATGTATATAAACCCTGGATTGCTGATGCTATGTATTGGCCATTGAGCGGCATTGAAGCCACTCGGCCATATTGGCACTCCCCAGTAGGAGCAGTCCTCCATAGGAATGAATGGAATTCTACAGTAATTTAATGTTTCAAGGACAAAATGACATGTATTTAAGTATTTGTTGTTGTAGTGGGGACAGTAACATTAGTAATCTCTAAAAAATAATACTTGAAGGAAAATGTTTTTATATATTTTTTATGTTTAGCTCACATCATATAATTTAAAAGTATGCATGAAGGTGTCTAATAGAATAAATGTGGCAAAAACGAATGTAGACATTAAATGCATTTCTATAGCTTCCTAAATATATTTTACACCGGTGGTGGAGTGCCAAGATGGAGGCACGGTGGCTTCAACACAGTGCCCCCTACCAGTCATCTACTGTATATATAAGTCATTGAGAACAACAAGGAGCTCAAAGTGCAACACAATGAATAGCTTCACTTCATCAACAAAATACTCACCGTATTGCAGGAAGTCAGAAGATTGACAATGTTGTGGTCAAACTGGGTCACGTGATTGCAGATGTACAGTTTTGTGCTTTTGTCTCTTAAACGTGGGCTGTTCTGTCTCACGTGCATACCAAGGACTGAGGACATTATTCTCACAATGAATCTGGAACAGGAAGAAAGATTTGAGTTTGATCCAGTGAACACAAAACAGGAGAATATGTTTTAAAATGGAGAGATACTAGACGAACAGGAAATCTGCCAAGACTTCCCACAATTGGTTCCTCCAAATGTGCACATTTCTTTAGTTGAGGCATACCCATATTGGGAGAAGCCAATAGCGGAGGTGCATAAATGCCTTGTTTGCTAAGTTTACTGTATTGTACATTTCTCTCCTTCACTCTTTTTTTGCATCGTCATTAGCAAAGTATATATGAACCCAATTCTAGCTCCATGACGCCGGCAATTTTAAAAACTGAAAAAGTATATTGTGCTGATTTATTGGCGCATTGAATCATGTTTAAAAACCATTAAAAAAGCCATAGTTTAACAACTCAGTGGACAGTGTACCCTACTCATAGACGCTAACTGCTTTAGCGCCTATTGTCGTTAGTATCTCCTGACCGGGGGAGTTTTGTTAACCTCTTAAGGATCGGACCCTTTTTTCAATTTTCACCTAAAATGACATCCCCAATTTAACTGCCTGTAGCTCAGGACCTGAAGCAAGTATTTGCATATTCTTGATACCATTTGAAATGAAACACTTTGAAGTTTGTGGAAATGTGAAATGAATGTAGGAGAATATAACACATTAGATCTGGTAAAAGATAATACAAACAAAAAAACATGTGTTTTCAATTATTATTTTTGTTCCATCATCTTTGAAATGCAAGAGAAAGGCCACAATATAATATTGCAGTTTAGGCGCAATTTTAGCCACTAGATGGCAGCAGTGTGTGTGCAAAATTTCAGATTGATCCAGTGAAGCATTGCAATACTGGACTATTTTGTATTAAGTCTGCCCAAATGTGCCGAATTGGTCAATTGATACATTTTCAAGTACATAACTATAGAGACCATACAAAAATGATATGGTAATACAAAATGTAAGTTTACACACTCCCAGGAATGTCATACATGATGGATCATTACACTAACTTTCACACATCTAGATGGCCGGGCGGGGTGGGTGTGGAGCCAGAGACAGCAGGGGTTCAAACTGTAGAACCCAGTTCCTACATTTGAATATAAAAATTGATTTTATCAAACAAAACTATGCTACATTTTATCTCTGGGACCCTTAGGATGACAAATCAGAGCAAAATTACTGAATGTAAGTACATTATTTACCTTCAGAGGTGAATGTATCAAACCAGTTGCCGTGATACGTTTTTTTGTTGCTGTGCACTCTCCTCAAACAATAGCATGGTATTTTTTCACTGTAATAGCTACTGTACATTGGACAGTGCAGTTACATTAACAAGAATTTAAGCTTTCTGCCCATATAAGACATGTCTATGTCCTGGAAAGTTTGCTGTTACTTACAACAGTCATGCTAATCACATTAGCGCACGTTAGCTCAACTGTCCCGTATGACACCGATCCCGTAGAGGTCAAGAGCTTGCTGTAAACATTAACACGCATCGCTTGCGGTAGTGTTTTCGAAAGATAAGGAACATATCTTTCATATCAGCGAGAAATAATTGTATAGGGTTAGTGTTCCCACACGGCCATGTCTCTATGCTACAGCGCTTGTTTACGGAAAACAGACGGAAGACAAGCGGCGACCACCTGTGCTAATTAGCTATCTAGCTTGCTCCAAACACCTGTGTGTAAGTGTAACTCTGGAAGTGTAGCGGAAGTGGTTTCATTGGATGGAGGCACCCATAGCTGTATGGATCTGTGCAAAACTGCTACAGTAAGTGTATTTTACTGGGCCATATTTTTCGAAAGCCGCATCGCAAGCCTTGATTATTGACGTTTCTAAACGTCTAAACACAGCCTCGGGATTGTAGTTCACATGAGCCAGTCATTGGCAAAGCTAATCGTTGAGAGGGAGAAGACAGAATGCCGCCTAGAGTTTAAGCTCTATAGATAGTGGTTTAACAATGACATATCTGAATTCCGACATCTTTATGCCCCTTCACCATTGTGGCAGTATTGACAGATTTTTGTTTTATTTTAAGCAGGAAGTCACCCCACTGTGTATAATGATGTCATATTGCTTAGTCAACCTTTAACAGCTAGTAAGGTAATAGTTGCAAAACTACCCTTACCTTCTAGCAAGACTGTCTGGGAGTGCACAGCTCACCAAAAACACATGTGCACCTACGAAGAGTCGTAGTAACATCAAACACAGGCCAACTGGAGAGTAAAGCAATACCAGCAAAAGGACCAGTCCATCGTTTGGCAACCTGTTTGAGACACAGACAGATTGTCAGCTCAGTGTGATCCTGGACAGGAATAATATTCTGAGTCCAAGGGGACAGATTATATGCTACTAGTTAGTTAGTTAGTTAGTTAGTTAGTAAGCAAGCAAACCAAACTAATGTAACTGCTACCGACCAAGCTCCCTGCTAGCTGTTAATGGATAACAATATTGATATATTGTAGGCTAATTTGCTACAGTAACTAACAAGCTAAATGAACGCCAAGAAGACGGTGACCTAGCTAGCTACTAGCCAGAGCCGATTATGAGCAAGACTATTGGACATTTTTGCCATGGGTATGGGAGGACTGATAAACTAATTTAGCTGCTAGCTAGCTTGTCTTGACAACAACACTTCTTGTTCTTACCGCTGGAAGTCAAACATCTGTTCTATACCTCGAGTTTCCATTATTTCACCTAATCTGTCGGTTGGCTAAATTAATTACACGCGTTACTTTCCTGCATACCAGCTAATCAACCGCTTGATTCGAAACGATAAAAGGTCAAACTGGCAACCATTTATTTGCTCATGTTGTTGCTGGCTAACGTTTCCAGCTAGTCTACCTCGGGCGCCATGTTGAACGCTAGAAAGAGATCAGAGTCACGTCAGCAACACAAAAACTACTTCCGGGTTATGGAATTTCGGAACGTTTCCAAATAGACGTCACGATATGAAAAATACTTGTCTAAACATGAACAATGATTCATATTTAAGTGATATTTGCATTACATTTTGATTTTTAAAACACGTTCAGAGGTCAAATAAATGCCCCCAATGTGAATCACTGTATATTGAATACATATTGACTTAAAGAGCAAAAACTATTCTGGGTTTTTGAGTGGGGTGGGGAATACTCAGTAGGGAATGTATAATCTATATATGGTGTCATTTCATGGGGCTCTGAATAATCAGCCCATTACATTGGCCACGATTAGGGTTATTTTACGATATACCGGTATTGATGCACGGACCGGTTTTGGTTTTTACTTTACCTTCTATAGCGGTATTTGCATGCTTGGTTTGTTAAATGTGATACACCGTGTGTAACGTGCATTTGTAGAGTTTACTTCGCTACTTAAGTCATTTATCTCCACTCGCTCTCTCTCTATGCCGCTTGCCACACAGACCTAGCCCCGCCCCCTGTCACTCAAGGAGCGCATTTGTTGTTCCTGGAGCACGAGACGCTTGCGTTCAGTCTCTGCATGGTCAATGCAGCACATGCAACAATGTTGATGACAAAGAGGCTGTTTTCACTTTGCTTCTTAATATAAATCCACTAGCGTTCTATAATTACACTATTAGTTTGTGTGTCTTACATCTGCAAACAGCTAGTTAGTATTTTCTGAGTAAATTGGGCCTAAATCTTGTTAATGCTAATCGCTAGCTAATAAATGTGCTGAGTCAGAGCAAGCGTAACTAGCTATACAGCCTGATAATACCAGTGATGGTGTAGACATACATCTGCATGTTTTTGTGCAACAGTATCTTCTAACTCAAAGAGGAATACGTGAAGCAAGAATATGCTAGCTTCATGAAGTAGCTAAGAGAAAACATTCAATGTAGCCAAAGATTACAGGGTCCCCTAGGAAACACTTGTCAACACTTCGGTTCCTACTCTGTCACAATAATTCCTCTCTGTCATTTTCATTTGTTATCATTTACATTTACATCATTTAGCAGATCATGTACATTTCTCTCCTTCACTCTTTTTTTGCATTAGCAAAGTATATATGAACCCAATTCTAGCTCCACGACGCCGGCAATTTGAAAAACTGAAAAAGTATATTGTGCTGATTGAACTGTATTGAAAGTGGCCACAGTTATTTTCTAACTATAGAATTTGAAAAATAATTATATTTCTATGATTCCAACAGTTCACCCAAGTGTTTTGCTCTAAATTAAATCGCAATTGCAACATTTGGTTAAAAATAAGGCCTATATTGTTTGCCCATATCGTGCAGCCCTATGTGACAGTGTGGAAATGATGTCAAATGAGTGCATGAAAAGCAGAAATATAGGAAAATGCTGAAATTTATTTTGGGTTGAAGTTGAATTGAACAGTATAAAACAATCAGAATGGAGAAAGACCCATTGAAATCACTTAGAATGTACAGTGGGGAAAAAAAGTATTTAGTCAGCCACCAATTGTGCAAGTTCTCCCACTTAAAAAGATGAGAGAGGCCTGTAATTTTCATCATAGGTACACTTCAACTATGACAAACAAAACGAGAAAAAAAATTCCAGAAAATCACATTGTCATTTTTAATGAATTTATTTGCAAATTATGGTGGAAAATAAGTATTTGGTCAATAACAAAAGTTTCTCAATACTTTGTTATATACCCTTTGTTGGCAATGACACAGGTCAAACGTTTTCTGTAAGTCTTCACAAGGTTTTCACACACTGTTGCTGGTATTTTGGCCCATTCCTCCATGCAGATCTCCTCTAGAGCAGTGATGTTTTGGGGCTGTCGCTGGGCAACACAGACTTTCAACTCCCTCCAAAGATTTTCTATGGGGTTGAGATCTGGAGACTGGCTAGGCCACTCCAGGACCTTGAAATGCTTCTTACGAAGCCACTCCTTCGTTGCCCGGGCGGTGTGTTTGGGATCATTGTCATGCTGAAAGACCCAGCCACGTTTCATCTTCAATGCCCTTGCTGATGGAAGGAGGTTTTCACTCAAAATCTCACGATACATGGCCCCATTCATTCTTTCCTTTACACGGATCAGTCGTCCTGGTCCCTTTGCAGAAAAACAGCCCCAAAGCATGATGTTTCCACCCCCATGCTTCACAGTAGGTATGGTGTTCTTTGGATGCAACTCAGCATTCTTTGTCCTCCAAACACGACGAGTTGAGTTTTTACCAAAAAGTTATATTTTGGTTTCATCTGACCATATGACATTCTCCCAATCCTCTTCTGGATCATCCAAATGCACTCTAGCAAACTTCAGACGGGCCTGGACATGTACTGGCTTAAGCAGGGGGACACGTCTGGCACTGCAGGATTTGAGTCCCTGGCGGCGTAGTGTGTTACTGATGGGAGGCTTTGTTACTTTGGTCCCAGCTCTCTGCAGGTCATTCACTAGGTCCCCCCGTGTGGTTCTGGGATTTTTGCTCACCGTTCTTGTGATCATTTTGACCCCACGGGGTGAGATCTTGCGTGGAGCCCCAGATCTAGGGAGATTATCAGTGGTCTTGTATGTCTTCCATTTCCTAATAATTGCTCCCACAGTTGATTTCTTCAAACCAAGCTGCTTACCTATTGCAGATTCAGTCTTCCCAGCCTGGTGCAGGTCTACAATTTTGTTTCTGGTGTCCTTTGACAGCTCTTTGGTCTTGGCCATAGTGGAGTTTGGAGTGTGACTGTTTGAGGTTGTGGACAGGTGTCTTTTATACTGATAACAAGTTCAAACAGGTGCCATTAATACAGGTAACGAGTGGAGGACAGAGGAGCCTCTTAAAGAAGAAGTTACAGGTCTGTGAGAGCCAGAAATCTTGCTTGTTTGTAGGTGACCAAGTACTTATTTTCCACCATAATTTGCAAATAAATTCATAAAAAATCCTACAATGTGATTTTCTGGATTTTTTTTCCTCAATTTGTCTGTCATAGTTGACGTGTACCTATAATGAAAATTACAGGCCTCTCTCATCTTTTTAAGTGGGAGAACTTGCACAATTGGTGGCTGACTAAATACTTTTTTTCCCCACTGTATGTGTTGCCACCCTAGGGTCACGCACTACTCATAAAGCACATGTTTAACTTTTATTGTAAAAAAAACATAAAATACTGTCAAATACCGTCAAATTGTTTTTCTATACCATGATATGATATTTTGCCCATAACGCCCAGCCCTAGCCACAATGCAAATCACTATTATGCATTAAATATCGGCTTATAGAGAAAAAACTGTTCTTTGTGCCGATGTAAAAGTGGGGTTGGGATTACTCACTAGGGTCTGTAGAATCTATACAGTGCATTCGGAAAGTATTCAGACCCCTTGACTTTTTCACATTTTGTTACGTTACAGCCTTATTCTAAAATGGATTACATTAATTTTTTTCCTCATCAATCTACACACAATACCCCATGATGACAAAGCGAAAACAAGTTTTTAGAAATACCTTATTTACATAAGTATTCAGACCTTTTGCTATGAGACTCGAAATTGAGCTCAGGTGCATCCTGTTTCCATTGATAATCCTTGAGATGTTTCTACAACTTGATTGGAGTCCACCTAAATTCAGTTGATTGGACATGATTTGGAAAGGCACACACCTGTCTATATAAGGTCCCACAGATGACAATGTATGTCAGGTCGGGAGAAGGAGAAAATGGCGACTGTGCTTGAATCTGAAAGTGCGGCAAGTGAAGTGTGTGATAATGTGAAATCAAAGAATGGAACAAAACTAGCAAAAGTTGTAGTAGAAGACAAAGACCGGTCCCATAACGCATTTCTTATTGGGCTGGGTTTTCTGGACAAGGAGATTCATTTAGGAAATCCATTTGTAAAATTGAGGACTGTGAAGAAAGCAGTGTGAAAGGTGGATTCAATCAAGGTGACTAGAAGCTGCCTTGTTTTGGTTAATTGTGTTGATGAAGAACAGAAGAAGCATGCACTGGATCTGGCAAAATTGTCCACGTCAGAAGTAACATGTATTGATCTTCAGAGCAGGGCACCTGCCAAAGGAGTTAAAGCTGGAGTCTCATTGGATATAAATGATGAGTACCTCAGTCAGAAAATCCCAGGAGTGGTCAGTCCACATCGCCTGACCCGTATGGTAAATGGAAGGAAGGGGATAAGCCTGTCGATGTCATTGTTGTTTGAGGAGACTCTACCTGAATATGTGAAGCTTGGATATGTGAGATATGCACTGAGAACATTTGTCTCCAAACCATTACAGTGTGGAAATTGTAAAGGATATGGTCACCTGTCAAATGTTTGCAGACGGGAGAAGTATGATATTGAAGAATCTGTGAATGGAAAATGTGGCAACTGTGGTGGGGATCATACTCTGGAATTACTTGAGTGCCATGTTAGGGTGAATGAGGTCGAGGTGTCAAGGATCAGGGCTGCGCAGCGGATCTCCTATGTGGAGGCGGTGAAGAGAGTCGAAGGGGCAAGAGGCAACAGTGTTGAAGATATGGCGGTGGATGCATTGCAACCAGTTGCTAGTGTTTTAAGTCAATCGAGTGATCTGCAAACACTCATTGTGAAGAGGGTGGATTTTGTGGCATTTACAGCCACAGTGATTAATTGTACAGCACAAGTGTCTAAGAAGTCCAAGAAGCTGGATATCATGATATCTGCAGCTGATACGTTTTTGGGGCTCCAAGACTTCACGGCAGAAGCACTACAAGGACTTTTGTTGCTAGGAAATGTCCTGCCCTCACAGGAGGCTTCTGAGCCTGTGTTGGGACCTGAATATAATAAGGTTTTTACAGAAAAGCAGGTTGATTTTGTTTAGTTAATTTCTTTTTTGGTAGTTTGTATGGTATTTTATTTATTTTGACCAAAATGTTTTCCTTTTTTGGGATCCTTATTATCCACCCGCACAGTAGGTGGCGGAATGCACATTTAATTTTTGCGAATGCCATTATACCATTAGAAGAAGAAGTGC